GAGGAGTGAAGGAGGAGTGAAGGAGGGAGGGAGGAGTGACGGAGGAGTGAAGGAGGAGTGAAGGAGAAGTGAAGGAGGAGTGAGGAGAAGTGAAGGAGGAGTCGAGGAGGAGTGATGGAGGAGTGAAGGAGGAGTGAAGGGGGAGTGAAGGAGCAGTGAAGGAGGAGTGAAGGAGGAGGGAGGAGGGAGGTGTGAGGTGAGTGAGGAGAGTGAGGAGGAGTGTAGTGGAGTAGAATGAAGGAGTGTGTGTTGAGCTGAGAAGTTAGCTGAAGTGGGGTGAAGTGAAGTGAGGTGGTGAAGTAGGGAGGTAAAGTTCGGTGAAGAGAGGTGAAGGATAGGTGAAACGGGTAGAAGTGGAACGGCGTGGCGCGAGGTAGGGTGAGGCAGTAAGGTGCGGTGTGGAAAAGGCTTGGGTTGGTAAGGTTTCATTATGTCATTGAGGTCATATTAGGTTGCAGCAGCTTTCTTGATTCATGTTCGCATCGGAAGACCGCTGAGTGGCTCGTGCGACTTCCATCACCGCCTGAAGCAGCGCCAAGCAGCCAGGCAGGCGCCACGCGAACGCGCTTTGCCGGAGTGGGTGGCTCGGCCTGATTCCGTGCGATCGCTTCGTCGCTCTGTCTCTCTCGCACCCCCACCGAGCGCGCCGTGAGGGCGACGGAGACAGAGCGGCGAAATGATCCTTCGGAATCGGCCGGCCCGCCCCGCTCCGCTTTTCGTCCGCGCGGTTTTGCGGCTGTTTCCGTTCCATCACGAGGGGGGCGGGGCGGGGCGGGGCGGGGGGGGCGGGCGGGGCGGGGTGATGATGGCGGTGTGACCCGCAAGTCAAGCAGAGTGCGGGGGAGTGGGAGGGGAGGGGAGGGAGACAGGGGCTGGCGGGGTGTCCCCGGCGACGTGCGGCCCATACTCACAAGGAAACGGATCATCCCTCGGCCCAAGCAGGGCGAAGCAGGGCGCATTAGGGCCGAGTGGGACCGCAGTGTGCTGTCGCGGTGCTGTACAGTGGGCTAGAAGACCGGTGGTGGAGGCGGTCCAAATCCCGGACGCGGTTTGAGCTCCAGAGCCGCTAAATGGGACTCGAACCGAACGTGTGACCCCACCACTGGATTCCTCGTTTGGAGAGCATTCCATTGGTGGGGTCACACGTTCGATTCGAGTCCCACGTAGTGACTCTAGAGCTCAAAACGCGTCCACCGGTCTTCACTGTGTGTCGGTGTGTTGTCGCCACGCAAACAGGAAAACCGCAGCGGGCGCTGCCAGGGCACTGCCACGGCACTGCCGACCAGGGGCGGCCAGAGGAGGGTCCCTTTCATGTCGGCGCCGAAACGCCGAAACGCGGTCGAGGCCCGGCCGGCCTTCCAGGAAGCGTCGTCCAGCGAGGCATCGGCCGCGTCGGCCCGAGGGGCACACAGGGCCCGTCTCCGTCGCACTCACGAAGCGTCCCGTACAGGTGCGAGAGAGACAGCGCGACGAAAACGATCCTCGAGGCGGCGGAGCCACCGCGCCGGCGCCGTTCCGAAAACCGAGCCAAACGACGCCGCCGACAACGACGGCACGTCTGCAAATCGCGCGGCGCCCGCCAACCCCGCCACGGCCCCGCCAGCAACGGCCGGCACGCCGCGCCACCAACGGGTTACATTGTTTTTCGCGCTAAACGCGGCATGATCTCAAAGGCGGGGATTGAATGACCGGACGAGTTCCGACGAATGTCTGCTCGGTGGCGGCCATTGCTTGAAACCGCAGAGAGGAAATGACCATCTGTGGCAAAACGGTCCTGGTGAGAGGTTGTCGCCCGCCGTTCAGCTAAGTGGCTCGTAATTTATCGTCAAAAGCATGCTCTATAGTGGATAGTCGACTTGTAGGGTTTGCTAAATTGTGCCCGCGGGCGCAGTTCTCCGAGCTTGCGCGCGGGCGGACCCAGCCTCCAAACAGGAGCTCGTTTCGCGAGGAGCACGCATCCGCTTTCGGCCACTGCCTTCGGCCCACGCCGTGTAACCCAAGCGGCGTGGGCGCCGACGGGGGCTGCGTCACTCTCGTACTTCGGGGACCGGGCCCCTCCACAGTGGGCCAGAAGAACGGTGGAGGCGGTCAACATCCCAGACGCGTTTTGAGCTCCAGAGTCGCTAGCTGTAACTCGAACCGAACGTGTGACCCCACCAATGGATTGCTCTCCGAACGAGGAATCCATTGGTGCGGTCACATGTTCGGTTCGAGTCCTGTTCAGCGACTCTAGAGCTCAAAACGCGCCTACAGTTTTGGGCGCCGGCGCCAGCCTTCTGGCCGCGTCTGGCCCACGGTGCCTCGGGTAGCCCCCTCGAGCCCCGCGCCGCGCGGGCCAGGCCGGGCGCGTCGCCCACCGCGTCTGGGAGCGTGACCGCATTGGCAAATTCCGACCAACATCCGGTTGCAACGTCTATACACTACACTGCGATTGGCTGGCGCGGCGGCCTGGCGACACGGCACTCGTTGCGTGGCGGACCCCAGTGCTGTTAAAGTTAATTTTTTTTGTTAACGAGTTAAAGTTAAGCCGTTAACCTAACCGAATTAACGTACTCGTTAAAGTTAAGGGTCTTCAGCATTAGTTAACGAGTTAACGTTAAATTAACGCATTAACGAAGTTAAAGTTAGTTTTACTTCTTGATGAACCGAAGACGTTGTGTGATTTCTTGATTTTTGACAGATTTTCAGTCCTCAAGATGCCAAAAAATGACTAACTTTCAAAACCTTTCACAAAAATTGAGGTTTTGTTCATTTTCTTTCACCCAAGACATAAATTCTACATATTGTATGACCAAAATGTCGGCAAAATATGCATACACAGATGAACAAAATAAACGTTAACGGCGTTAAGAAGTTAACATTCCTACTTAACTCAACTCGTTAACGTTAAGACATTCTGACTACTTTAACGAGTTAACGTTAATTCGTTAATTAACGTTAACGGCGTTAAGTAACTTCGTTAATCGTTAAATTAACTTTAACAGCACTGGCGGACCCATTCCGAGAGTCGTTTTCGCCGCTCTGTCTCGTACGCGTCTGACACGGGTGCGAGAGAGACAGGGGGACGAAAACGACTCTCGGAGACGGCCTGTGTTCCGAGAAGGCATTGCACGGCTGCCGGGCCGCCCATACCGCACCCACAGTGCGCGCACACACTGGCAGCGCGGCGGACGCAAAGTTATCGGCGGCTATAAAGTGGGCGCCGTGGCGCGGCGCTCGGTGACGTGGCCGCCGACGCCGACGACGTCGAGGACTCCGTCGACGTCGTTCCTGGAAGGCGGCGCACGCGGTGCGGGCCAAACAAGGGAGAGGCCGCGCACAGTGGGCCAGAAGACCGATGGAGGCGGCCAAAACTCTAGTCGCGTTTTGAGCTCCAGTGCCGCTAAACGGGCCTCGAACCGACCGTGTGACCCCACCAATGGATTCCTCGTTCGGAGACCAATCCATTGGTGGGGTCACACGGTCGGTTCGAGTCCTATTTAGCGACTCTGGAGCTCAAAACGCGTCCAGAATGTTGGCCGCCTCCACCGGTCTTCTGGCCCACTGTGCGACGCGGCCTCGGCGGCAGGCAACCCGATCCGTGGCACCGCCGGCACCCAGCAGACAGAGAGCCGCTGTCTCTCTCGCACCAACACGCCACGCCCCGAGAGAGTGCGACAGAGACCGAGCGTCTCTCGGAATCAGTCGGCAGTGTCCTGACAGGACGGCTGTCGCACCGCCACCGTGCCACTGTGCCGCGGAACCGCCCGGGGCGCGGGGCAGCGGAGCGGGGACTTGGGTGCCACCAGCCGGCACTGCCACGGCGCTGCCTGCCTCTGACTGCACCGACACGCTCGGTCACACTCACACACAACTCTCTCTCTCTCTCTCTCTCTCTCTCTCTCTCTCTCTCTCTCTCTCTCTCTCTCTCTGAGCCAACTCGCTCACCGCACACCTCCACGTACGCACGAGGCAGACAGAGCACTGTACAAACAGGCGCGCGTACAAACAAGACAATGTTATTCGCGTTGTGAGGAATACGCTTCGGAGGCGGAACCGCGCACACAGAGTCGCTTCTCGGAATCCGGAGAGAGAGAGAGAGAGAGAGAGAGAGAGAGAGAGAGAAGAGAGAGAGAGAGAGAGAGAGAGAGAGAGAGAGACTTTGGGGCCGCGGTGGGCGTGCCATTTTAGTTTCGTGGAGGCGAGGTTCAGGCAGGAAGTAAATTCGGATATATTATTGATAGGGACGGGGGCGAGCAGCATAGTGATGCGTGAAGCCCGTTCGGCAGACTGATTTCGTCGTTGTCTCTCTCGCACCGACAGGGGATGTCCCACGAGTGCGACGAAAACGACCCTCGGTGTCAGTGTGCACGCACGGCCAACGAGCGCCGCACTAAACTCCACGAAATACGGCGACTTCCGCTCGTTTTGCTTCCCCGCTTTTGACACACGCGTATTACAGGCGGTGTAGGTGCACCGGAACGCAGTGGAGGCTCGGTGCGCGGTGTTTCCCCCTTCCCC